ACTGTTGTTTATTTAGCTAATAATAAATTTATGCGTTACTTTAGGGACGCACTCCATTTATTAGTGTTATACTAATAATGGTAGTACTTACATATCAAAATTATCGTCAAAAGGAATACAGTGGTTGTAAGATTGACTAATTTGTTTGATACCTTTAATAAGATCTTACGAAATATTTTCACACACGGTGTAGCAAATATTAATAATTTTTTCCATAACCGAATATCTTACTTGATTTGCGTAGTCATCTAAAGATAAAGACATTTCCTTTCGATTAAAAAAATATGCAAAACCAACCAATAAAGCTACCTATTTTACGTAATAGCATAGATATTTAAATATAATCTATTGTCTTTAGGTGAAAAAGTATCACTTGAGGTTATGATATCTAATCAAAAATAGAATTGCATTTTTAATTAGAAGATGATTTGCTATTATAGATATTGCACTTTTTGTGTTTAGTAGTTTTAATAAAGTTGTATTTTTTATTAGATTATGATATTACCTAGACCGATAGAAACAATAATTTCGGAAACTGGTCTAAACTGAATTAAATTTGAAGATATCCAATTTTATTAAACGATATAGAGAATTTAAGATTATATATATTAGAACAACAAATACTAGGACAAGAACCATAGAAATTATGAGAAGTAGAGCGAATGGAATTACAAATAAATCAAAATAAAAATAAATTCATGCCGACTACAAAAACCAGAGCCAGAAATGTTAACGCAAATCTAATTTTCAGTGATAAATTCTTCGAGAGATCATATATCCATGGACATCGGTTAACCTCGATGATAATAATACATCAATAATATAAGATATGCCGATGATACTGTCATATTCACTTCAACTCTGCAAAGTCTAACAAACATACTGGAACGGCTGAATGAAAAGTGTACCATATATGGTATTAAAATGAACTTAAAGAAAACAAAATTCATGGTCATTACAAAACATCCAAAAGACAACGAGACACTCCATATTAATAATATCCAGATAGAAAGGGTAGATAAATACAAATATCTAGGAACATTGGTTAGTCAAAACGCAGAACAAACGCAAGAGATTAAAAGCCGTATAGAAATAGCAAGGGCAAAATTTGTAAAAATGAAACATCTATTGTGTAGTAGAGACCTAAGAATGGATCTAAGGATAAGGTTATTGCGCTGCTACATTTTTACAACTTTGCTCTACGGATCGGAGGCATGGACATTGAAACAACTGGAGATTAAGAAATTGGAAGCTTTTGAGCGTTGGTGTTATCGAAGGATGCTACGAATAGCATGGGTAGACAAAATTACCAATATTAAAGTCCTTGATAGGGTTAATAAGAGGGAAGAAATTGTACAGACAATTGGGAAACTTGAATATTTCGGTCATATATTAAGAGGTCCTCGTTATGGGCTACTACGTTTGATTATAGAGGGCAAAATAAAAGGTAAAAGAGATGTAGGAAGAAGATGAACCTCCTGGCTACGAAATCTAAGGGAATGGTTTAGTCTGAGCTCTAGCCAACTATTTAGAGCTGCTGTAAGTAAAATAAGAATTGCCATGTTGATATCCAACCTTCGTTAGAAGATGGAACCTTAAGAAGAAGAAGGGGGAAGAAAAACTTTGATAGAGTATGTAGGGACAGACTGTGGACAGCGATGCAGGAACTTGGCTTTCCAAAAAAACTAGTCCGGTTGATACGGATGTGTATGGAACGGTTATGATGTAAGGTGAGAGTTGGACAACAATACTCGGAGACATTTGAAATAAACAATGGACTAAAACAGGGAGATGCACTTTCACCACAACTCTTCAACTTAGCTCTGGAGCACATAATCAGAAGTGCAAGAATCGAAAAACCGAATACAGTATTTCATCGAGAAGGACCAAACTTACTACTGGTATTTGCAGACGATATAGATCTAATAGGAAACACGCGATTAAGGATGAAGGAGACTTTCGTAAGGTTTGAGAAGGAAGCAGCGAAGATGGGGCTCCAAATCAACAAAAACAAGACGAAATATATGTATATGAGCCGCAATAACCAAAGCAGAGACAGAATCGGTCAGAACATTACCATCGATGACTTTAACTTTGAGCGCGTTAGAGAATTCAAGTATCTTGGAACAACAATAACTGAAGAGAATAACGGATCACAAAAAATAAACAACAGGATTCAGGCCGGCAACAGATGTATTTTTGCCCTCCAAAACCTTATAAAATCAAAACAACTAACACGACGTACGAAGATACAGGTCTATAAAACAATCATACGACCCGTTGTGATGTATGGAAGCGAAACGTGGACGAAAAAAAAGGCAAATGAAGAGAGACTACGTGTTTGGGAAAGAAAAATCCTAAGGAAGATCTTTGGTCCGGTGCTTGATGAAGCATCAGAACAATATAGGATAAGAACTAATAAAGAGCTTGAAGAACTTTACCCAGACGCCAACATCATAAAAGAAATAAAGTCCAGAAGACTCCAATGGGCAGGACACCTCAGAAGACATTCTGACGAACGAACAGTAAGACTGGTGTGGGAGGAAGTCCCAACTGGAAGGAGACCACGCGGACGCCCTCGTCTTCGGTGGCGAGATAATATAGCAGGTGACCTAAGCACTATGGGCGTAGAGAATTGGATGGAGGTTGCTCAAGACAGAAAACAGTGGAGGCATGTTGTCGAGTCGGCTAAAACCCACGAAGGGTTGTAACGCCACGGAGTAAGTAAGTAAGGGAAGAAAAACGCACACCGTAATTGCAGATAAATGTTATCATGATGTATCAAAGTACCCAGCTAACAAACCCGGATAGTTTAAGTTCTTACTAAAAGAACCAAAACAGAGGAATCTTCTCGATCTGTTTTTAAAATAAAAGTATTAAAAAATGGTTTTTTTTTCTTTTTTTATATAGACATGAGTCTGTTTGTTTTCCATCGTTTTCGTGGTCTTCCTACTGATTGTCTTCTTATTAGAGAACCGTATCTTGCCGTCTTTACTTCTCAGTTTGTTTTCATTCGGCTTATATGATCATTCTATTCTACTCTTCTTGGTCTTACCCAGTTTTTCATGTTCTCCACCTTGCATGTACGTCGTATATCTTTACTTCTAGCTCTGACATATTGTCTCTTACCATCAATTTTTTACCTCCAATTTACATCTTAGTAAATTTGTTGTTGTAACCGTACATTTTGCCTTTTTTTTTTGGAAATTAACATGTTAAAAATTTTCTGGCGGTTATATTATTATATTATTAATGTAGCTTATTTATTATATTATTATTTTAGCATACGTTGTAAATCATCTTCACTTTGAGAGAGTAGTATTGCATCGTCGGCATAGTAGATTATTTTAAGTTGTATTTTTTCCATTTAGTATCCTTTTTTAGTTATTAATTTTTATATTATTCCAACCATAATCAGGTTTAATAATACAGGACTCAATAAATCTCCCTGTCTTACCCCATTGCCAGCTTCAATAGTCTTTCAACATTTAAAAATGGGGTAGAAGGTGTTACTAATATAATAAAGTGAAACCGCCTGAAGTGGATAGAAGATTATAGCTCAGTCCCGGAATTTACCAGCAAATCCAGTGAGAGTACAAGACCTTCAAAACAAAGCTTAGGTGGATTGACAGGGTCACACAGGATGCTGAGAAGATCCGTGTTGATATCTGAAAAATCCAAGCAAGAGAGAGTGCAGAATGGCAAAGAAACTTCAGAAGGTCGAATACCATTAAAGGCTGTACCTTTGTGATAATAATGAAAGAGAAGAAACCGACATTCAAAGTAAAGGATCAAAAGAAAGAACAGTGATCGAAAGCTAGGTCTAGTTTTATTCAATTACCAGCGATTTTATTTTATTTCGTATCATATCAAAACTGTTATATACCAAGTCGATATGCCACGTCAGTGTTTTAATATATTGCAGTTAATAAAATAAAAACTATATTAAAAAAAGATGGAAACATTATCATTTAATAATAATGCATTTGTTAAAAGATATACATTATGTATTTATAGAAGTTGTTAAACAGTCAAGATCTATCTCGTGACGTACTTAACAAAATATTTAAGGGCCTGCATAAAACCAAAAAGATCCAATCACGCAAAAATAATAAGTTAACAAAAGCATCAATATCCAAGCCTCAGGAATTACTAAAAAACATCCTATGACATTGATGACGGACATAAAAGTATTACTTTAACTGCCACCTTACTACAATGAAGAAGCTATTAACAAAATTGTGAAAAGTGAAACTAGAAGAACGACTTGCAGTAAGGAAAGAATGACAAAGCCTACATGTGGTAGAGTAATATTAGTAATTAGACAACGTAAAGAAAAATACACCAAATACAACAAATTGCTATTCACCTTCTTTTTACGCCCGGCAGAGGCGTTGAGAAAGGTCACTTTAAATTTACAGAAAAGGTAATTCGGAAACACTCGGTTAGATTAAACTCACTTGAAATTAAAATCCATCGCATAAAAGTTCTTACCATATTTATTTAATTTCTTTTACACTAGAGAAAATAAAAAAAGTAAAAATGTCCTTTAGACAACCTTACTACATTCAAAAACTACATTCATCAGATAGAGCGAATAACCAAAGAATGGTAACCAAGTTAATGGTACCCAGACGTACTTATAAAAAAATGTGGGGTTTAAAGCCAACCAGAAATGTTTTATTGGAATTATAACATGGTGGTAAAACCAACAATTACATAATGCATCAGTGGTATGGTTACTAAAGGTACAGCAAAAACGGTACAAAGACTTACTTGCCTTACAATCAAAAATCTTATGAAGTAGGGGTAAGGGAGAGAAAAAATCTTTTAATTTTTTATAATTATATGGCATTAGTGCATTTTTTACTTGGTTTAAATATATTGGGATAACTTAAAGATAGGTGTCTCATTAAAACAATTAATGTAATAAAAAATTTTTAATGTTCTATAATATTTTTGATAGTCAAATCAACATTCTACATTTTGATACCTACGTTTTCACCAATACAAAACAGTTGTTATCGAGCGTGCACTTAGATTTAAAGTAATACTGTTCCTCTTACAATCGAAAAGTTTTCTCTGCACTTGTTGATCATGCCTAAAAATTATAAATATGTATTTAGTTTATTATGCCCTTATTAATATGTTCTGTTAAAATTTGAGATATAATTTTACGTGTAGACGATTACGGAAAGGTTGCAAGATCGTTTAATATTCCATGCGCTACCGATATAGTAATATTTGTCAGATCATCACAGCACTTAAATATGTAAATATGTACTATTTGCAATAATTATGAAATAAAAATACCTCAAGTATATACTATACGATTAGATTATTTTCGCTATTATTTTTATATCTGATGTTGTGCCCGGCAAATTGTTATTTTAGTTTTACTTTTTTATTCCGACATCTTTTATTTCAGTTTTATCTCTAATTTACTTATAACAATTGAGAAAAATTAAAAAGATTAAAATTTATGATAGAGCCCAAGACAAAAAAAGGTAAAAAAGTATAGTGTACCACTAAATAAACAAAAGAGCAGATTAACAACTAAAATGCCATCAAGATTCATAGAAAGTCATTTTCTAAAATAAATAAATTGTCCAATGCATTACATTGGTACGCCATATCAACCGCCTGCTACAATAATTCGATAAACCAAACCTTTACTCAACTCCGCACATAAATACACAACACAACACACACACAATCGTTACCCACATACACACTTATCACTCACCGACACACATTCATTATACATATATACACTTATCATTTACCCATAAACACACACACTTTACCTCCACTAAGCTTACAAATCATAAACATATAAACACCAAAAAGAATCCAGCCAACAACACACAACCAATAACTACACAAATTCGCACATCCACACTAAATACTAAACAGTGAGCACCCAGTACAATCCTTAAGAGTCGCATTCAAAATCACAAGGACAGGGGAAGATTGGTTTTCTTTGGTTTGGGGAGGCCAATCTCATTGCACAAGGATACCTGATTCTAGGTGACCACACAGCGAAAGCTATCCTCCACACGTTTGAACCGAACAAAACAAAAAGGCCAACAAACTGAAAAAGACCGTTGTTCACTGAAAAAACTTATCAATGAAGAGGTAATAGAGCCAAACAGGATAAAAACGTTGATTATTGTTCTTTTTACAGACATATAGTCTGTTCCAAAAACAAAATAAAAAAGAAAGCTGGTACTGGTGCGAAGAGTTTTATACCGGTCTTTGTACTGCACCTGCTTTGGAATGTATTATGGAAAGAACTAATTTTGCAAATTTAGGTTTAGGTTTAAATATTATATTTAATTTTGTCTTCTGCTTGTAATTAAAATATACGCATTCTCTATATATTTGATTATTGTACCAATGCACAAAAACGAAAACAAAAAGCAATGTATTATATACCGGGGAATAACACTCAACACCACCAACGTTCAACAACATTCGCTGGTATATATTTTCAATATTATTATATGGAGCTGAGACTTGGACATTAAAAAAATGTAATTTAAAAAGAATCGAGGCTTTCGAACTCTGGTTATACCGCAGATTATTGAAAATATCATGGACTGATAGAATTACAAATAAAGAAGTACTGGAGAGGGTTGGTAAAGAAACAGAACTAATCACCACTATACAAACCAGAAAACTGGAATACCTAGGCCACGTGATGGGGGGACCAAAATATGAAATTTTGAAACTGATAATACAGGGAAAGATTCAAGGAAGAAGATCTGTTGGCCGAAGGCAGAACTCATGGTTAAAGAACTTACGTGATTGGTACCAATGCAGATCGATTGATCTGTTTAGAGCAACAAGTTCTAAAATAAAAATAGCCATTATGATTGCCAACCTCCGTAGGGAGACGGCACTCTAAGAAGAAGAAGAACACCACCAACAAAATCCTTTCAACATCCTGCTAGAGAGAACCCAAACATACACAAAAGAAATCGTTGGAAATTATCAATGCGGATTCAGACCGAACCGCTCTACTATTGATCAGATATTCACAAAGAAACAGATAATGGAAAAATACTGGGAGTTTGATCGTGAGCTTTATCAGATGTTCGTAGATTTTAAACAAGCATTTGATAGAGTATGCAGGGCTTTCCAAAAAAACTTGGGCCAAGGCAACTTGGCTTTCCAAAAACACTAGTCAGGTTGATACGGATGTGTATGGAATGGTTACGATGTAAGGTGAGAGTTGGACCATATTATTCGAAGACATTTGAAATAAACAATGGACTAAAACAGGAAGAGGCACTTTCACTACAACTCTTCAACTAAGCTCTGAGGCACATAGTCAGAAGTGCACGAATCGAAAAACCAAATACAGGATTTTATCGAGAAGGTTTAAACTTACTACTGGCATTTACAGATAATATCGGTCTAATAGGAAACATACGATTAAGGACGAAGGAGACTTTTGTGAGGTTCGAAAGAAAGCAGAGAAGTTGGGGCTTCAAATCAACGAAAACAAGACGAAATATATGTATATGAGCCGCACTAGCCAAAGCAAAGACAGAATCGGTCAGAACATCACCATCTATGACTTTAACTTTGAGCGCGTTAGAGAATTTAAGTATCTTGGAAAAACAATAACTGAAGACAATAATGGATCGCAAGAAATAAGTAACAGGATTCAGGCCGACAACAGATGTCTTTTGCCCTCCAAAACCTTATAATATCGAAACAACTAACAAGAAGTACGAAGATACCGATTTATAAAACAATTAGATGACCCGTTGTGATGTGTGGAAGAAAAAAGTAGACGATAACAAAAGCAAACGAAGAGAGACTATGTGTCTAAGAAAGAAAAATCCTAAGGAAGATCTTTGGTACTGTGCTGGATGAAACATCAGGACAATACAGGATAAGAACTAACAAAGAGCTGAAGAAATTTACCCAGACGCCAACATCATAAAAGAAATAAAGTCCAGAAGACTCCAACGGGCAGGAAACCTCAAAAGATGTTCTGACGAACGAACAGCAAGACTGGTATGGGAGGAAGTCCCAACTGGAAGGAGACAACATGGATGCCCTCGTCTCCGGTGGCGAGATAATATAGCAGGACACCTAAGCACTATGGGTTCACAAGACAGAAAACAGTGGATGCATGATTGCATTTATAGTTTTGCTTCTGGCCACATAGGAGCTTTGAAACAAACTTGGATTACATTTAAATTTAAACTTCAGAAGGATGCCCAAAGTATTATGTAATACAGAACTACAATTGTCATTGTGGCTCTGCCTACTTTCATCATTATCATCATCAATTTGGATTTACAACCCTGTGTGGGTCCTAGCCTTCCCAAGAATTCTCTTCCAGTCGTCCCTATCCATCGCCTTCCTCCGCCAAGCACGTATTTCCATATTTCTTATATCTTGGTCTAGATCTGCCTACGTTGCTACTATATATTCTAGGAATGTCAGCTATGTCCTGGACTGTAAATAAAAGTAATCTAAAATACTTTAAGGCTTTCCAAACGTACTGCTATAGTACTCTTATAGTAAATAATGGATAACTTAACAAAAACTTAACAACATTGTTAGTTAAACATAGTTCTTATGGCGAATATATTGATTATTCTAAAAAGAGGTTTTTCTTGCAATCGTATCATTTTTTGCTAATCTCTATCTAGTTGTCGACAGTTTGTATGTCCGTCTTCTGTACGAAAACGATAAGTGTTAAAACTCAATACAGAGGTTCCTTTTGATAAAAGGAATAATTATGAAGAATTTATGGTTAATAAATTAGATATTACTAAAGTTGCAAAAAGTTTTGGGGATAGAGAGAGTCCGGAACTTCTACCGGTATCTCTTGTAATATATAGAGTCACAGACGTCAAAATTGATAGTATTCTGCAAGTCAAAATAATTAACTATGCAATAATTTCCATTTGACGTTTTTCTGTACTCGTTACAGTAGTTATTGTAAATAATCTGCTTAAAACACATACGTACTTGTTTAAAATGACCACTACTATTCCACCATCAGGACGTTTGAAAGCAACTTGGGATACTAAAAATTGATCTTCATTACATTGAGATGAATAAATTCTCTTAGAACCTACTGGCAAGTATTTAGAATAGTGTCCAATTGCATAATAAAGAGGTTGCTTATAGAACTCAGAGTTATAATTTATAATTGGAGCATCCCTTCCGGCAGCGACATTGGGACCTCCCTTATCATCTAGAACTATATTCCAATCTACCCAACCTGTAACCCAGTGATTTAAGTCCTGTGAACAAATATATAGATTTTAGTATTTTTGGTACGATGTGTAATTGGATTATTATGTTAAATCTATAGAAAATTAATTAAATTCTAATTACTAACATTGCAAAAAATTTAAAAACTAACCTGCATAATATCGGAAGCATATTTTTCACCATTAGACCAATCACCCAAAACAATACCCATTGATCCTAAAAATTAGTTATAATTAATAAATATATACATACATATATATATATATATATATATATATATATATATATATATATATATATTATATATATATATATATATATATTTAAGAAAAAAGAAGTACTTGTGACTCGTTTGGAAAAAATATAACACTGTTTTTGATGGGTTGGAGTCAATAAAAGGGGCTATTTGTTGACTATTTTTTACTCGAGCTTATAATTGTGATTACAATTTTTATCAAGAGCTTCTAAAAAATACAAAATGTCTTACAAAGTTGAACTAGAAATAAAAAATTTTTTGTTAACTCACCAAATAAAATTAGTTTTTTATATAAAACTACTGCTTACATATTAAATACAAAAAATATTAATAAAAAAATGTCCTATTCTAATAAATGTTTCTCTGAAAAATTTAGATGAAGTTTCTTAAGAAAAAAAAATTGAATTTATAAACAAAAATAGAATAGCTACAACCAGCCTAAATGTCATAAATACTAACTTAAAAATTTTTATTTTTGACATATCATAACACTTTAGTGATACCAATTCGAGCACGGGAAGTTTAACGAATTTGTCTCCTAGGCCATATAGTTGGCCATTTAATATATATATATATATATATATATCTATATATATATATATATATATATATATAATATATATATATATATATATATATATATATATATTTATACAAGAAATACTGGATATTAGTGACTCTCGATATAAACAAACAACACAGTTTATTAGGGTTGCAGTCAGAATATTGGCCGGGATGTTAAAAAAAAACACTCTTTTGACTTTTTGTCGAGCTTTCGGAATGGTTTTATTCCTTTTTCAAGACACTGTAAAAGACAATTATGTAAATATTAAAAAAAATATTACAATTCTTCAGTGTAACTTACTAGTCGTTGAAATTATTTTTGTAAGCATTGACACTCAACATTTATACCTTCTTCTTCTTTAAGTTCCATCTTCTATCGAAGGTTGGAAATCATCATGACTATGCGGACTCTGTTGACTGCCGCTCTAAAAAGTTCTGCACTATTGCATTCAAACCATTCCCTTAAGTTCTTAAGCCAGGATATTCTTCGTCTTCCCACATTTCGCTTTCCTCGGATTTTGCCCTGCATAATAAGTTGTAATAATGCGTATTTTTGCCCTCTCATCACATGTCCCAAGTACTCAAGTTTTCGTCTTTTAATAGTTAATATTATTTCCGCCTCATTTCCTATCCTTCTAGTTACTTCCATGTTTGACATTCTTTGAGTCCATGATATTCGTAGGATTCTTCTGTAACACCAAAATTCAAAGGCGGCCAACTTATTCAGATGAACTTGTTTTAGTGTCCAAGCTTCCAGACCATAAAGAAGAGTAGAGAACACGTAACATCGAAGCATTCTCAGACAGAGTTACCATTTATAACACATTTATACCACAGATTAAAATATACAATTATGGAGATAATACATCATAAATTTTTTAAAATTTTTTGGAAAAATAGTAAAACTTCGTTGATGGCATGTTTTACTGGTGTATATTAACTCATACAGAGAGTGGAAAGTAAAAACACTGTAATTAATATGTAATTAGGTATAATTGATGTTATCTTTCTTTACAAGAAATACTAGAGGCCCTTCTAAGGTGACTATACTTTTTAAACCTGTCTTAATGGTATGCAGCACATTATACATAGAGGTGTAATTTTAATACAGGTAAATATTTATTTTATTTTTGGTGTTTTTCTAGTAAATAACAATCAATGTTACTTAAATTGTTTATGTCGGACTTTTTGTTGATACAAGATGTGCTAGATTTTATAAAACACATTTCCAAAAAAACACGTTTTAAATGTGTAAGAATGTGTAAGAATTCTCATGTAGTATGGATCTCAACTTTTTTAGTCCCTTGTCTCTGAATTCTATGTGTGACAAATTGATAACCCTAGTTTTTAAAGCCAAAACCAAATTTGTTTTCATCTTAGATGGATGTTGAGAATAAAAGTTTATGAAACGGTTACTGAAACAAGGTTTACGATACCACTCCGTCTTTAGCATGCCATCATTGCCACGATGAATTAGCATGTCTAAAAAAAGAAATCATATTATCAGCCTCTCTCTCAACCGTAAACTTTAGGTGTTCACATTGGGCGTTAAAAGTGTTTAAAACATCAGTTACCTTGTTGTCAGGGACCGATAGAATCAAATCATCTACATAACGTTTAATAAATGGTATGTGAAAAGGTTTGTAGCATTACATTTATTTATTACATATAATATACCATATATATACATATATATATATATATATATATATATATTATATATATATATATATATAATATATATATATATATTACATATACCATTTATTAAACGTTATGTAGATGATTTGATTCTATCGGTCCCTGAAAACAAGGTAACTGATGTTTTAAAGACTTTTAACGCCCAATGTGAACACCTAAAGTTTACGGTTGAGAGAGAGGCTGATAATAAGATTCCTTTTTTTAGACATGCTAATCCATCGTGGCAATGATGGCATGCTAAAGACGGAGTGGTATCGTAAACCTTGTTTCAGTAACTGTTTCATAAACTTTTATTCTCAACATCCATCTAAGATGAAAACAAATTTGGTTTTGGCTTTAAAAAGTAGGGTTATCAATTTGTCACACATAGGATTCAGAGACAAGGGACTAAAAAAGTTGAGATCCATACTACAAGAGAATTCTTATCACATAGGGCTGTTAAATAAACTCGTTGTTGGTTTTCCTTTTCCTTCACAAGTTTCTGTCAACCAAAATTTTCATAACAATGAGATCCGACAATTGACATTGACACATAACGCATCCATATTACCATCTAAAATAACTTATGGTTGCCTACTCTACATTCCATTTTTGACACCTAAACTAATGAACATCTTTAAAAATGTTAGTGGCTTAAAAATTACAACCAAAAATATGAAATCAGTATCGAAGCTTTAGACAAAAACAAAAGATCCTTTCACAATACAGGAGTCATCGAATGTTGTTTATTCTATACCGTGTACTAACTGGAATAAAATTTACATACGAGAATTATCTCGTAATTTTCACAGCAGGGTGTTATCACATCGTAGTGATATAAAAACCAAAAAAATCAATGCATGTGCATTGACAGAACATGCACTAACTCTAAAACATGAATTCAATTTCGATGATATTTTGACAAAAGAAAAGAACCATTTAAAACGTGTTTTTTTGGAAATGTGTTTCATAAAATCTAGCACATCTTGCATCAACAAAAAGTCCGACATAGACAAATTAAGTAACATTTATTTTTATTTACTAGAAAAAACACCAAAAATAAAATGAATATTTACCTGTACAAAAATTACACCTCTATGTATAATATGCTACATACCATTAAGACAGGTTTAAAAAGTATAGTCACCTTAGAAGAGCCTCTAGTATTTATTGTAAAGAAATATATCATCAATTACACCTAATTACATATTAATTACAGTGTTTTTACTTTCCACTCTCTGTATGAGTTAATATACACCAGTTAAACATGCCATCAACCAAGTTTTACTATTTTTCCAATAAATTTTAAAAATTTTATGATGTATTATGTCCATAATTGTATATTTTAATCTGTGGTATAAATGTTGAGTGTCAATGCTTACAAAAATAATTTCAACGACTAGTAAGTTACACTGAAGAATTGTTTGTCCCAACTGTCACATGAAAGCTTATTTATATTGAAGCTTTTTACAATGTGTGTATCATTATAGAGTGTTATCGTTAATATTTATTTAAAGTTTCCCGTCTAAGACACATTCTGAAAACTATTTTATAGCTACTGGAAATAAGTGTCGAAGAATTGAAATTTGGCGCATTCGCATTTTTGGATATGTCCGCCATCAGAAGCCTCTTTTTTGGTCTCCTTTTCATAACGATTCGATTTCCTCTTTTCTCTTTTTGCTCGATGGCAATGTTAAACTTCTTTGTAAATCAGGTTAATTTTTGTAATATACAACACAAATGTTTACACATATTTATGGACGTTATTGGTTTGATTTTAGCATAGTTTTATCTTAATAAAAATGTCGATTTACACCAATTTAAAGGGTGCTAGGATTTGGCAAGCACATATTAACATAATCTAATTATTGGCATAGGTGCCGATATATAAAATTGGAGTTATTTTTGTTATTCGTAATATTGTCACTCCAACGATAAACGATAATTACCGCTTCTTTTGAATTCGAGATTGATAATAAATGTGCGTGACAAAATAATAAATCATTGACTAGTCAAAAAATATTTTTTTACTATTTTAGATGCCAAAAGTAAAGAAACATTATTTTACGTATATTGCCTCTGTGTATTCGCTTGTACGTATTTCATCCTATCACGAATCATCATAGTGACTGGTACAGAAGCTCTAAACGTAAAAACAAATATTTTCCGTCAAAAGAAGCAACAACAAAATGACTTCAGTATGGACGCTATAGCGAAATCTGATAATAAATTGTGAAAATAAAAATCCGACGAATTTTATTGACGAAATCCAAATTCAGATTTGTGCTTTAATCTGTACCTTCTAAGAATTGCAAGGCATAACAAACGATGAAAGAAAGATATGGAAAATCTTAAAGTTGCATTCCACAACATAAATTATTATTTTTCCCATACTTTACCCAGATAAACATAGGTACCTGTATTGGTTAGAGAGGTACAGAATAATTTTTGTCAATAATTCAAGTAACCGAAGTAACTGCGACTAAAATTCGGTCATAAATATCTGCCCAAATAGCCAGACAACTGAGGCTAGTATAAGAATAATAAAGCGTTACTCACCAACACAAGCTTCTGTAGCTAAAAGGAATTTGTCGGGGTATTGTTTATGAACATCGTCTAATAGGTAGGTGTTATTATTAAGATCTTGATAAAAGTGTACCGCAATTCCATCAACGAACTGTAGAGTTTTATTATCTCTCAGAATCTGTAACCACATATAAAAAGTAGGTACCAGCTAATAATATTTCTAAGAGATTCTTGTTTTTTAAACGGCAATTTCGATAGTAGCAAAATATATTATTTTGTACTTCCCATTATTTATTTAGTTAATTCTGAAGCTAATAAAAAAACCAATAAATAAAGTTACCAGAAAGTGAAGATATGTAATATTTGGCATAATAAAATGAATACAGAAATAACAATATTGGTGTAGATAGGGAAGAGTCGTAGACAATATTTTAATATTGAAAATAATAAAAATTACCGCGAAAGAAGCAGTAGAAGAGGTAAAAGAAGCGGTTCAGAAATCTGCACGGTAAATAAGTTTAATGGAATCAAAAGTAAAGTATGCCCTAAAAGTTTTGGCACAAACTTTATTGGCTTCAATATTAACAAAAGCAAAAAAATATCAATTTACCTTTGAAAACAAAAATTTGTTAACTGTGTTTATTGTTTGTTGAGATTTATTTATTTATATCGTACAAATTTAAGATATCGTATAAATTAGAGATAAGAAAAAGTATCTACAAGTTGGTTGGGCAGGTACCCAAAGTTGTAATCTGTGAAATATTCCAGAATGAAAACATTTGACACAGAACCATTTATGAAACAATAGCAGAATAAGAGCAGGGAATATCATGACTGAATTTCTCAAAAAGTAAAAGACCACGTCTATTTATTCCACAGAGGTCAAAAAAATTGGTGAGAAAATCAAAAAGGTAGGTTGTAACTTCTTTGTATACCAAAATGCTGAGGCGTGTATATTCTGTCAGTGAAGTATACACTTTAAGTAATTCTGAAATAAAAAGAAAAGCAGGATTTTATACGGTCAACTTAGAATAATGCCCTGATAATATTAAAAACAAACAAAGCAAAATTTGCAGATAAAATCCTTGTATGATACGCAATTTTAAACAGGGGTGTATCCTGATCTTTTATATGAGGGGTGAAGCTTTAAATAGTCTGTAACAATAAAACACTAAAAACCTTTTGTTTTCTAAACTTCCACAAAATTTATTTTAAACTCTTATCACTACAGCGGTTTCGGCAGATTGCCTTTCTCAAGTGTCGAATCCAGCAATTTTTTAAATAGTCAGAGCTATATTTATAACTACCTTTCCAAATTGCTTCAGTTTGTCAACGAACATGACGCTTATGACGATGCTATGTTTTGTATATCATGTCATTACGGAAGAGATGGCCAAAACTGGCCTCTACAACAACATCTACCTTTTGTCTCAAAAATATTCCAAACTTATAGCAGGCTTGTCCAATAAAGTATGTTTAGGTTTGACTGCCTTAAATCCTCCATCTAGGATAAAGAAAATATAAGGTGGAGAATTTACCAAAAACAGAGAGAAATTTGTGTCTGGTAGAGCAGAATGGGCCATTTCACATGATTAGATAGTAAAAATTCCATAAATCAATACCTCCTACGTAGAATATCGTAAGTGCATTCGGTTAACTTTACAGTACAGCTGCTCAAAGATTCGCTCATTGTTTATTATTGATTGTTCAGTAAGAGAACAACGAATATATTTAAAAGTTTGCAAATTATTTACGAAATAGGTGGATAATAATCCTGTGTAGTACTTGAATTAATATTATTGCTTTCGAGAAAAATCACTTACGATATTTTACATTGACCAATATAAAAAATAAATTATAGTATGTAACACTTATTATGAAATACGTTGGACACTATACAAAACTATTTGTCACAAATAGTTATGTGTTATATACATCTATATATATATATATATATATATATATATATATATATAATATATATATATATATATATAGATCGCTTTAAAATGTTTTTTTACCGTAAGGGGTCCACATAAAGTCTTGTTTTGGAAGACGTTCTTCAGACATTCTCTGTACAGGACTGTACCATCTGAGTTGTTGGGTACCAATGTCGTCTACTATTGTATGTTTTACTTTCATAATTTCTCTTATTTTATTGTTCGTTACTTTTTCTAGTCTGGATTTTCCAGCTCAACTGCTTCAGAAATTCATTTTCGTTGCCTCAAGTTTTTTTTTGTATTTATGATACAATTTATTAAATTACCATATTTTATAATCTTCTGAGGCATCCTAGCTCTTAACAAACTATCTCCATTCGTTCCACTTGGATGCCATCTGTGTTGCTTCTTGCCAAGTCTTACCTTTACTCTGTAGAATCGCTTTTCTTGCTTGGTTGTTTTTCTCTTCAATTTTGTTTTCTACTTGCCTTTTTTTGTGATTGCCATACCTAAATATTTGTATGTGTTGCAATGTTTGATAACTTCTCCATCTTCCAATATGTGGTTCTGTTGTTTCCCGCCGATACACATATACTCGGTTTTTTGGATATATATTTCAAGTTCCCATTTGTGATACTACGAGATTAATTTTTGAGTCATCTGTTTACTCTAAAGCTTTCCATAATTTATAATGTGGTACGCTATTATAAACCTTTCGTATGTCCACATACAATAAATGTACTTCTTGATTAGTGGCTATTTTCTTTTCAATAATCTGTGTAATGCAAAACAAATGGTCAACGGTAGATCTACCTGCCCTAAATCCTGCCTATTTCTCAGCCTCTAAGTCTTTATATTCGCTTTTTTAGTTACTTTTTTAATTTACTGACCGAGTTTGTCACGGCCATGCCTCTGTAATTGTCACATTCATCTCTTTTGATTTTTTTGTGTATAGTGGATATGATTGATGTCTTCCACTCTGGGTTGTCATTCTATTAATGCAGTTTCGCTAAAGTTGTATATGGTTTGGTTGTACCGTATTTAATTAACTCTGCAGGGATGTTACCAAGACCCACTGCTTTGTTATTTTTTTGAGATCTATATACATATTCCACTTCTTTCGTTGTTATTCGTATGAGCGAAGTTAAAATATTTATATTTTGTGGTTGGTTAGCTTCCTAGGTTTCAAATATGGTCCCAATCCATTGTATGTGACATAGTCTTCCTCTTAGCGTAAGATTATAACCTCTCAAATATCTGGTCCTCCAGATGAATTATTTGTCACTTTGTTCCATGTTATTTTCTTCGACATACTATGTCTTCTATAGACTCTTGATTATTTATCGCATTTCTTTTATTAGAATATATATTGGTTTCTTTTCTTCTTTATTTCTTGTTATATTTCTTCGTCAAACCAATATGAAAGTTTTCTTTGATTTTGGATTTGGTATCCAATGCTTTTGTTGCTACCTCCTCTAGACACATTTTTATCTGAGTGTAATGTTCTTCATTATTAAATTGTTTATTTTCCAACTTTTAATTTAATCTATTTCTGTATAATTCTCCCAGGCTTTCTTGTTCTAAACTGATTAGGTTATACTTCTTCTGTATTATTGTCTCCCTTTCATTTTTTTCTTCGTTTTCTTCTTTAGGTATATTTACTCCAAATGTGATCTTATCTTTCAATACGTGATGATCACTTCCACAGGTAGCTTCTCTCAATACTCTTACATCTTGTACAATCACATTTGTCTTTTGTCGTATAATTGTGTAGTCTATGATTGATTTTAACCGTCTCGTATTTTGCGTCCATGTGTATTTGTGTATGTCTCTGTGTTGAAAAAATTCCATTTGCAATTTTCAATTCATATTGTTCGCATAATGATATTAGTCTGGTACCATTATCATTTACGTGGTCCTCTCCGAATTGGCCTATAACTGCGTTATTTGGTTTTTTTCCAGTTCTTTTCCATTTTTTTTATTTAAAGCATGCAAAATACGACCTTGCTTTATTTTAAAAATAAATTAAAATTATTATATTAAACTTAAAAGTAATGTAATAAATAAAAATTCATCTATAGTCAATACTTCGGGCATTTTATCAAAAGTTAGGTAAAAAGAAGTACAAAATAGTACATATTGTTTATAAAACTGTAAGCTACTAAGGAAAATATAGAATTTACCAATTAAATTAAACTGCTTACCTGTGGCACAAATGGTAACAAGCTTCTTTGATCATCTACAGTCATAAGTTTAAGATGTTTGTGCGCTGACTTTTTCAGTGTTGGACCTAGGTTATCCCTAATCCAATTACCCTAAAATATTGTAAAAAAAATAGGTAAAAGCACAGAAAATTTTAGAATAAAGATCTTCTTTAAACAGTGAATGAATTCAACATTCTCTTTAAAAAAATAAGTCTACTGTTTTGTAGACTTATATGTATTTTTAAATTTTTCACTTGCAGTGTTATTAGCATGCAAGCAACTGTATTAAGTTTTTTTACGTTTTATAAATTTAATATTGATGATATTTTGATTTTAAATGCATGTAAAAGCGGTTTTTATTAATTTCTTAATATCATTATCTTCATAATAAGAAAGACTAAAGATCGAATTTTTATTTTATGGAGTTTGAAGATTAACCTCCAACAATTGAAATTCCATGGTTATCAGTCAATGAAGGTGAGAAATTTTATTGATCTCATAAAAATCGTGAAAAATGTCAAAAATCACGTAACGTTTATTTATTTTACAGCTTCATAGCAATTGATTTTATTTGCAGCAAATTTCAAAAACTAATTACAAAAGCTGCATTTTTTACCTTTAACACTCATTATAGTTTTAATCGATAGGACACTCTTATCACGAGATATCGAATTTTTACCGTCGAGTTAAACAAATTCTATTTAAAAATTGATTTCATGCACGTAACTAGCATTCAAAATCACCGATAGCTTTGAGCGTTGTTTCCGACAGAACGGATCATTTTACAAAAAATGAAAAATAAAAATTTACGTTTAAAATTATCTCAGCTACATTTCTTTTTTAAAAGATTTTTTTGCGGTATACTGATTCTTGATAAATTGATGTTTTCCATTTTCTCCCCTACGAGGAGAGTTTTTCTAAGAAAGCTCGGTGGTAGGCGTAGAAGTTAACATCTAATTTGGGCTCCCAAATTTTACATTCTAAGCAAAATTTAATTTGTTTGTATGATTTTTAGAGGTTCAGTGACATTTTTGCCTCTGTCAACTGGAGTTCTAAGGTTAATTCTAGAATTTTTCAGTTATGCTTTGTACCTACACAATTAGCCGATTTCACTTGGTGATTCTTCTTCTTCTTCAAGTGCCCTCTTCGCTACGCAGTTTGGCAGTCATCATTGTTATTCGTATCTTTAAAGCTGTTGCTTTAAATAATTGGTTAGATGTGCACTGGAACCAGTCTCTTAAATTGCGCAGTAAAGATATACGTCGTCTTCCCAAGATTCGTTTGCCCTGAATCTTTCCTTGGATAATTAACTGAAGCAACCGGTACTTTTTCCCTCTCATCACATGACCAAGATATTCCAGCTTTCTTCTCTGATGGTGATCAACAGCTCCCGTTCTTTGTTCTCGGTGATTATTTTAACGTAAATGGTATAAACTGAAATACTGCAAAGTGACATACAGTACGATTTTATCGCTTGAAAATCTCATTAATTCTGATTGTTAAATTCAAAGTGGAAGTGCTCATTTTAAAACTACTTGACTTAAGCTTCCATTTGACATTTTTCGTATTTTGTTTAAATTCGCTGTCTAACATTTTGAATCGACAATCTCCAAAATTGTCTTTTTGTCGGCTGTTTTAATTTTTCATTTTCATTTGATGCTTTAAGTAAGTACACTTGAGTACAAAACAATCGACTCAAAAGCGATATTTGAGATGACACCTCCTGTTTTAATGTAATAAGTATGAAAATAAAAAAAAAGTTGTGTGATAACAATAACTTTATTATCCACAAGGAATCTAAGTTCCTGTAGTTGGCTGTATACCATATGTCCATCATAATATTCATCATTTTATTGAAAATTCTTTATAAAAGGTATATAATTTAAAAACCCAATCGGGCAATATCACAAAACGTTTTCGAAATCCATATTCCATCATCAGTGTCTAGGTATATGTAGCTACTAAATATTTGGGTAAAAACCTGTTAAAAATTGTTTGTTTAAATTTAGTTTACATTATGTGTCATTAATTATTATGATGTTAAATTATATACCTACCTTTTATAAAGGATATTTAATAAAAATTTTTTAATAACTTTATTATTGAACTTACAAAAATGGCTATTGTGTTATTTGGAAGATGCATTATAAAAACAATATGCAATATAAACAGAGTGCCCTAAATATTCATCATTGGACTTAACGCAAGAGAGACGTTATGAACAGAAAAATCATCGATTAGAAAATGAATTTCTTGATTTTCCAGTATTTGATATTATTACCCCTACTTCTAGTTACACTTTCCAATCGATTTCGCATGGATCGAATGACTCTTCTAATAAATTCTTTGGACTTCATTGGAATTGCTTCCCAATCATTATGTAGCCAAACTTTTAATTCCATTATGCTCCTTGGTGAAATATTTCTGTCCCATACCCTTGGTGTAAGCTCATTCCAAACATACTCTATTGGATTTATATCTGGGCTCAACGCAGGCCAATTTTATTGTAGGTATAGTGATCTTGGTCAGATAGATGGTGGTGACTCATGCGGTATGGCACCGTGCATTATCGTGCATTAAAATAAAGGCATCACCAATAAATCCCGCTTATGAAACCAAATGTTCCTCCAAAATGTCCCTGATGGAACGATTCGCCGTTAAACATCTTCCACGTCCTCCACCAGGCACGAAAACTAACTCGGTTTTCCCACCCATGGAAGTGCCTGTCCAAAACATAAAAGAACCGCATCCATAACACACAATTTCTCGTATACAACATTGAGCAGATTATTCTCCCGGTCTTCGATAGACTCGACGTCTCTTATCGTTGACCTGCAAGAGATTCTAATCGCCTTTGCTTCTGGGCTGCAGTTAGTGTGGTATTCTTAGCTGCCCTTGTGGTATCAGGTTGGCTGCCTTTTGTCTCCTTCTGACTGTTCAAACACTGGTAACCACAACTCGGACCTCTCTAAGCTCTTCTTTAAGATAAGCACCAGTCAAATGTCGATTTCTCAGTGATTTCGATACAAGAAATCGATCATCTTTCTCCGTTAATATTCGTTTACGGCCTCCTCCTTGTTGGCAGACATAATCATCTGTATCTTGGTACCGACAGTACACTCGGAACACAGCAGATTGGTTTAAATTTAGTCGATTTACCACGGCCCTCTGGCTCTCAATTATGCTCTCAATTACGCAATTTATGCCTTCCCTGAATTATGCTACTGCTTGAGCTGCTTGACGGATGTAGTATCCATTTGTAATGTAAATGAAACTAAAGTGACTGATGTATTAGTGAGTTGCTATAGAAATTGATGCGTACGATGTTAACCGAACGCGTTTCGGTGCTATTCGATTTCAATCAGTCAAATTCTGACCCCCTCTCTAAGTGTTGCATTATTTATTTGTAATAAGACATCCTATTCACCAAAAAACATTTTTTTTAAACTCTTAAAACTTTTTTATAAGGTTTATGAATGTACACTAAATATTTAAAAATTTAAACTTTTTAGATTGCAACAGGAGACGTACTTTCGTAAAATAATTTTGAGTCGATTATTTTGCACTCAAATGTATTTTACGAAAAAAATACAACAATAACTTTCATCTTAACACTAACCAAAATTATAAAAAAAATTGGTTTCGAAGCGAAAAAATATATTTTGTTAAAAAATTGGTATAAATAAAAAGATTGCCAAATAAAACCTTTAGTAAACTATAAACATAGCATATTGGCATTCTAATCTATCGATTAAAACAAGTTTTAGCTTGTGGGTATAAAATCTTCCTTTTTTGACAAAAGCCACTCGCCTATATACTTAATAGCTACATCGAACCCAAATTTGACGTTTATTTCTAAAAATACTAGTCTTTCTAGAACTATTTTTTTAATCGCATCGACCTAATCCAGAAAAGAGTTACTAGTACTATTCTACTATCCAGTACTATTACTACATCATCACATAAGTAGGTCATATATAAATATTCTCTGTTCTGGGCTAGTGCTTTGAGATTGTCTGTGTTCGCGAACTTAGTCCGGAACGTCGGAAATTAGCTTCACAAAAAAAATAGACAATTATATTTTTTACTTTAGGATTCTTAGAAACAATTATTTCAGACTATACGAATGTAGTGAAAACCTAAAGTTTAAGGTTTTATTTAAAATATCATTTTATTTCAAATTTATCATTAACTAAACACTTAATTAACTTATAGTTGTATAAAATATAAACACTTACCAAGTCTTCCGGATACCAAAGAGTACCAGGAGTACCAACATATTCCGCCATGGCTATAAAAGGTTCGTTACTGGTTGTAAGGCCCCAAAACGTAACATTATGTTGTTTGTAGAAATCGAAAAATTTGACGTAGTAATCAGCCAGCAATTGGTAGACTTCTTTTCTGACAAAACCCAAAAATCCCTTGTAGCTGTTGTTTTCTTTGTACGCTTTGGGGATAACCCACGTCGATGTGAAGAGTTTAAGATTTTTTTGTAGTTTAAATGCTTCATGAATAAATGGAATCTGTAATAAAATAAGTTTTAGATAAAAACTCTACCGCTATAGTCTTAAAATAATTTGGGTTGACAACTGTTGTCAGTTTTTCGTAAATTACTCAAAAAGTATTTATCGAAAAAAATATTAATAGCGAATATGTAGCTTATAAAAAAAATAAAAAATAATGGTATTCTTATAAATTCTGTCGACGTAGTAGAAGCAGAGTAGTAGTTCATAAAAATTAGGTTCTTATTTGTCAAATTCTAAATAGAATAATTCAACGTGAAATAACCTAGAAAATAAGCACATTTTGGGAAAAAAGCATTAAAACATTTTGTAATTAAAGTAATTAAAAAAAGATTTATCTTTGTTTTTTTTAAGATTTTTTGCATCAAAACTACGCAAGTTACGCCCAAAATAAACTTGTTCCATTTTTTTGGTAAAAATATCGTATTTTAAAAAAATTGGTTTTAAATCAAAAGAAAAATTTTTGGAAGTTTAAACATAATTTGATTTTTTTCAAAATATTATGATTTAAAAATATTAGTAATATAGAAAACTTAACACAATAAAATGTATTAAAATGAAAAAGACAGCAAATATTTGATTTCACGCAAACAGCGCCTATGTATCTGTTGATACATATTTCGACCTAATAGGTCTCATCAGAACAGTTATTCATAGGTGTTCTCAACGTGAAAGATCAATATTTTCTGTCTTTTAAGAAGCAACACTAAAATGGCTTCGATATGGACGCAATAGCGACATCTGATAATAAATCCGTAAAATAGTTTCGAAACACAATTCAGATTTCTGCTTTAATCTGTGCTTTCTAAAAATTGCAAAGCAAAACAGACGTTGATGAAGGTGTTAAAAGAGACATGGGGAATCTAAAATTTGCATTCCACGACATGTCTTTTCAACTAAGCAGAAATCCTTAGCGAATTGGTTTCTTGTACTCGTACAGAGTAGATCCGAATAAAATGAAAAAGACAGCAAATATTTTATTTCACGCAAACAGCGCCTATGTATCTGTTGATACGTATTTCGACCTAATAGGTCTCATCAGAACAGTTATTCATAGGTGTTCTCAACGTGAAAGATCAATATTTTCTGTCTTTTAAGAAGCAACACTAAAATGGCTTCGATATGGACGCAATAGCGACATCTGATAATAAATCCGTAAAATAGTTTCGAAACACAATTCAGATTTCTGCTTCAATCTGTGCTTTCTAAAAATTGCAAAGCAAAACAGACGTTGATGAAGGTGTTAAAAGAGACATGGGGAATCTAAAATTTGCATTCCACGACATATCTTTTCAACTAAGCAGAAATTTTAGAAAAAAAAATTGATACGGAAAAATTCTCAATAACTGTCTAATCTTATATACTAAACCCATTTTCGTTTTTATTAAAAAGTAAAAAAAAAACATTGTTTTCGAGGAAATATTTCGTGATATTTAATACACTTTTTACTTGCATTATTATTAATGAGTGTTATGTATATTCTTGCTTATATTGTTGTTTGTGTAATTTTTCTTGCAAAATAAAAATTTCATTTAAAAATCTCGATGTCGAGTTGGTTCGCTAGTACTGTAATGTTTTAATTATCTTAAATTTAAAACTTTTGACAATTGTGTCACAGACAGTTTTTTATAGCCTTGACTGCGTCTTCAAATACCATATTTTCAGCCTCAACTATAATATATCGTGTCTGGATAAAAATATGCGTACATTTTAATGAACACGTGCAGATTTTGTCTTAACCTCTTTTCCACACTTCTTTTCAAACACTTGTATATCTCTGTTGAAGAAGAAGCTGTTGCTAACGCGCGTTTTATTCTAATTTATGGTTTTATTTGTGATTGGCACTTCAGTTGAGAATTTTGTCAAGCATAGAACAGTACTGGTCTACGATTGTAGACCACGTGTCCACTGACGTTACAGCATCTGGCTAGATTATAGATATTTGATTCTATTGTTTTCAAAGTTCAAGGTAACTTTTAGTTATTACCATTGGGTATACTGGTAGTTACTACGGTATATTTTAGATATTACTATGTCTGATAATAAAAGAAGACGGGTGGAACGAAGCAACGACCCGGAAGTTTGGTCTAGATGGTTTGAGGAGATATCAAATGGGATAGAAGACGACTGTGATAATGAGTCTGAAGATGATCTCGATGTGAATGTAAATTTTGCTTAAAGGAGTGATCACGAAACAGACTGAATTAGAAACATCAGAGCAAGAAGAATTTTCCCAAGTTGAAGGAAGAAAGGAAATTAACATAGATATATTTACCAAACTTAAAATGTTTATTTTGAGTTGTTGTACAACTTTCATTAGCCATATTTTTTAAGTTGTTAGCTTAATTTGGTATAAATCTTTTATAAACAAATTAATTCGCAACTTTTTTGTAAAATTTTTAATGTTTAATTATTATAACTTTTTTTATCAATAAAAATAAAGTAATTTTAACAAAGTTTTCTTTAAAGCTTAAACAATACCTTTAAAATGAGGGGATTCTGAAAGTTAATAGCACATATGGAAGTTGAGTTACTTTTGAAAAAACCCCATCGAATGCCTATATTGCAATTGTTTTTCACAAAATTTCGATTCTAAGCAATCTAAACAGACTTTCTGAAAGAACAATTTTTAATTTGTTCAAATAAAATATTCTAATGTTTAGGATCAAAATTAAATATCTCTAATTGGTATTAAGAGATTATCTGATATATTTCCAGTCTGAAAATCCGTCCAGTACCCTCGAAAAATCGAATCATCGTACCAAAAAACGTGCAAAAAAGTACATACTCAACCTCCTTTTGGCTCCTAGAGCAAGGGTCACTAAATATATACCCTGAGGGTCTGGTTCAAAAACCTACTACACTTCCGTGGTCCAGACACTCAACACTAAACTAGGCAGTGGCGTTACAGGGGGGCTTACCCAGAAATTTTTAGGGTGCATGTCCGTTCCGAACGTTGGCGATCATTCTGGCTATGATGACTTTCTTGGTTGCTATACAAAATAACTGTGTTGAGGTCTTTCTAAACCATGCTCTCAGGTTAGCAAGCCAGGATATTCTTCATCCTGGGGCCCTTTTTCTATTTTACCTTGCAAAATGCACTGAACTAGCTCGTAATTGCCTTTATTTCTCATTATACGTCACCAGTACTGCAACTTACTTACGGTTCTTCACGATGATGACCAAATCCGCAGTTGTGTTCATCCTCTGCAGTACTTCTTCATTGGTGGCTTTGTCTGTCCATGGTATCTTCAGGATCCTTTTGTGTAGCCACAGCTCCGAAGCCTGAAGTTTTGATAGAGTTTCCGCCTTTAATGTTTACGTTTCTACTTCGTACAGAAGCACTGAGTACACATAATATTTAAGGAGCCTTATTTTTGTTTCTAGGGTGAGGTCATGACTCTTGAACATAGAGCTCATAGTCAAGAATGCACTTTTTGCCTTTTCGATGCGACATTTAATCTCTTGGGTATTGTCCCACGACTCATTGATTATAGTTCAATTAGTTGTATTGTGAGACACGTTTAATTCGATTTGACATACAGATTTGCTCCAGTTATGTTTTCCTTGCTGATGATTATTAGCTTGGTTTTGCAGGTGTTTATATCCAGTCCATATTTTCTACTTGTTTCCGTTATTTTGTTCATTAAGTTTTGCAGCCCTTTTACTGGTTAATAAGTTAAAACCAGGCAACTAGGCCACCTCCTTTAGAAAGATAGCTTCGAGACTCAAAGAGGGAATCGAAATAACTTTTTTTAAATCCACAATATTCTTGCCAAAATAGTCCACCACAGCCTTGTGTAAATCCTCTCCTGTAGTAGTTCCTGATATTGGCAAAATAGTCAAAAGTTCTTCAAGAAACTCTTCACTGGTTCTGTCCAGGTAGCGCATGAAAATGACAAGCTGTGCTGTATCTGTAATGTCGTATGACTCATCCAATGCCAAATAAAAATATTTAGTGACAGTCAAGATTTGTTTTAACGTTTTCTATGTTTCATCTGCCAATACCTGTGTATTCCTTGTGCTTGAAGTAGTAGATATTGGAATACGCTGAATAGTATCGACAATATTCTTTTTATTTTTAAATAATGAATTTCCTTCTTCCAGAAAACCCTCTTTAACGATAGCCGCGTCACTAAATGGCTTCATATGTTTGGCAAACGTCCAGGAAATGCGTAAAGAAGCCTCAGAACGATATTACATTGGATTATAATTTTTCACTATAATTTTATTACTATAGTTTGAATTTAACTGCGGTCCGCAAAAATAGAGCCCACGGTCACATCATGAATACTGGGTGGAATGCATAAAACGTAGTATCTGCTAATGCTTCAAGTAATTCTACATTTTTGTAGTACTTGCTACACTTGCAAAGCATTTTGCTTTCCTCCGTAGTATTTACTACTATTTACCAGATACATAAAAGGATGTACTACTCTTTTGAAATATTTGCTAGTTTAGTAGAATTTGCTTCAGTTTAGGTGAAGTTGGTAGATAAACAACTTCGGCTTAGGTGTTTTTTGTTATGTTTGTTAAATGGTAGCATTTATGAATGTTCGTCGTAGAAAAATCTACAAACCAGGAAGAATATACAATGACGATATTTATCGTAAAATATTCAGGTAATTATCATGATTCGTGCAGTTTTATTCATACAATGCGCTGAAAGAAGTGTTACCCCCCATATTAACTCCTCCATATTTTTAGTATATAAGCAAAACACATGAAGTAACAGTCATAACTTTGATTTTTTAAATGGGAAAGTAGGAGAGTAGGGGGCGGGTAAGACTTATTTTAGCTTACTGCATATGTATATACAGAGTGGCTCAAAAGTCTGGAAACTGCCAATTATCTCGTAAATTGCTAGTTATAATTGTACAAAATTTGAGGTACACCTATTTTGGAATACGGAGATTCCATATTTGATATTTGCAATGTTGCCAGATTTTCCGTTTCTCTTATATTATTAGTAACTTTGGTTTTTTAAATGCATCACCCTG